CAAGACTATTTTGTCGAGTTTCTTAGGAAGAGTTGTCTCGCGTCTCTAAGTATTCTCTATCTACCCACTTGTATCGGTTTCGAATATAGGCAAAATACACAATTTTTAATCATCTTCCTCGATGAGTTTTCTTAATTTATTTCTCTCGAATTTCAGGAGGGCACGCCAACTCCCTGTCTCTAGAAGTGGCTATGGGTCGGATGGTCAGACCTTTTTTTAGGCCCGAGGGCAAGGCCTAGGCCGAACAATGGCCCGAACATTGTATTGGGTTGGGACTTGGCCCATGATTAGGTATGGACAAGAGTTCTAACATATCATACACTATTTTTCATTATAACCATATACTATTTTTAAATTTAAAATTCAAGGAAAAAAAAAATCAAAAGTGTGTTAATAGTTAAAATTTTCCATAAATTGGGCTGACGGATGGGCTTGGGCTAGATAATCTACCCGATATTTGAGTCGACTAATTGGTTGGCCCATGGACATATATTGAGATCAATAGCGGATGATTTACAAAAAAAATTAAAAAAAAAAGTAGCGAAAAGGATCTATATTTCATGAACAAATTAATTTCACTTAAAAAACATTAATTCACATAGTTCCAATAAACCGTATTCCCCCCCCCCCCCCCCCCCCAAAAAAAAAAAACCTTTTTTTCTCCTCAGCCCCAAGTTCAAACGACTCTTTCACCAATCAAATATGATTAAGTGTGCACCCAGAACACCATATCCAAAAATATGGGTTCTAAGGTGTAATGTTACGGTCACATCAATTTCTGAAATTGGAAATTAAATATAATTACATATAAAAGGTGTTGGTCTGTGGTAAGGGCGGTAAGGTTGTTCTACTGAGAACTAAAGGTTTGGTTCCGAGTCAGGGAAACAGCCACTCTGTAAGAAGGGTAAGGTTGCAACATATGACAATTTCGAGACCCTTAGTGGAGAAAGTCTCCTACATTAGGCTGCCGTTATCTAATTATGAGTAATCATGAGCAATGCATGATTACCAGTTGATAATGGTGGGATTTTGGGTATGGGCCGCCATAATCAAAGAGTCAAATAAGTCCAGGAAACCCTTGCTTCCGGTTGGGTTAGCTTTACCAACCAAAAGCCAAGAAAGGCATGGGAGTCTTTGGGCATTGCTGGGGCTAAGTCAAGCTTGGGCCGAGTTAAGGAAAGATTGGCTACCAAGAAAGATCAATCATTCCATTTCAGAATCGAGTCCCCCCCTGAATATAAGTAAGACCCCGTGATTCCCCAAACCAGCTCCTGGCCTAGCCCTACCCGGCAGAGCCGGCCGGGGTTTCCTATCATGGCATGGGGATTAGAGAGAAAGAATTTCGAACAAGCACGCAAGCCAGAAAGCCTGAGTTGAAAGCGATCAAAGTTCAAAATTGGCCCGTATGAATTAAGGCTCATCTTGAAGCGCTAAAACATAGGTTTTGACTGATGACATGTACTTCAGGTTTTTCTATCCATTAAGTTAGGGCTAAGTTTTGGTAAGCATTACTTTAGCAAGTAATCCGTTGCTTGTTCTCAGTCGGCGAAGCCTCGGACCTCACATCTGGAGTTCTTTATATTTCATGCTTCCACCTTCCGGCCTACCACTTGGTTTCTCGTTCCTCGCCTTCCCTCGATCTCGGTTTCCTCAACCTTTCACTTTCAATTGAATATCCTCTCCTTCGGTTAGCTATGTTAGAATCAGTTAAGGCCATAGTTTATAGCTTTGATCTTACTGCAGCTACAGATAGAGGGCCTTATCAGCTCATCTCTCTGCTAGTTGAGACTTGGTTTGGACAGGGCATCACGATTACAGTGATTGATACTTGCTTGGTTAGCAATTCAATCCACATCTTCCCCACTTTGTCACTAAATGCCAGATTCCAGAAAATGTCATTTGATTCATCTAAATTCTGATTTGTTTGTCAAAAAAATTTCACTTGCTTGCCCCTTTTAGTATAGTAGTAGGAAAAATGCCTATCTAAAAGCCCCCCAAGCTATATGGACGGGAAATCTCGATTTTTACTTAGAAGTTCAGTGAAGTAGGCATTACCTTTGACACACACATGGGTGCCATAGGAAAGGGAGCAAGTCCTCGTCGTCGGATTGTTAGTTGGGGTAATTTCGTGAAAGCCATCCTTCTTAATTAGTGGAAACTAGCTCAATCTGATGGGAATGCTAGAGGCTTGAAATGCGCTCTTCCTCTACAAAGAAATGGTCATATAATCGATGTTGAGGCTATAAGGAATGAAAAAAACGAGGGAGCTCTTGCTCCAGTTGAAGTTTTTGATGGGGAGGAATGGAAACTTCAATCTCCTTCTCCCGTGCCAATTGCATTTCTTTGACTATGTTCATCTTGTCCATCAGCTGGAGAAGGGCCCTATGGAGTAAAGGGAAGTGCAGAAATGCTATATGCATGTGATAAATGGGATCGAACTCGCGGAAGTCGAATATATATATACTACGACATTTGTTTGTTGAGATCCGTTTCGGGAATAGAATCCAACTCCTTTTCGGGTACAGCTCTAGCGATTCATAGAATCAATCCTTTCCGTCCAATGTAGCTAGTTACGGAGAGGGAAGTTTGACTAACTAGGCTTAGGCAAGGAAGGGGAAATACATTCAATTAGCTAGGCGGGAAAGTCTAGGGGGACCTGCCTGGCTAAGAATAGAGAGGAACTAACCTTCTGCTTTCACTGGCCTTATTCCACTAACAGTAAGTTAAGGGTTCAGATGGAAAACCTAGCTTGTGCTAACCTTACAGGCAAGTAGCAAGAAAGCACACAGAGGAACGATATCCATATCCATTTCTTTCATTCCTCGCCATCAATCAATAGAAGAAAGAATTGAAGGTAGGACCAGGACTATCAGAGGGATGAGACCTATCTATGACAATCATCACTAGATGAGGGAGGGGTAAGGAATTGACTGTACCCAAAAACGAGACAGGTGAACGCAAAAATACACCCTTGTCTAAGGATAAATGACCGATGTTTCTGGGGCTTCGGATTGAAAAGAAGAAAAGCAAGAATATGGAATAAGTGCAAACTACGTCTTACCCCGGGCCTTTAGTCCAAAGGAGAATAAACCTGAGTAATTAGATGAGGATGTGGAATAAAATGACTCTCCTCCAGTTACAGAGATTGCAGAGGTTGATTCTGGTTTGGAGCTAACAGACGGATCAGAGGTGAGCGGGGACCCCAATTTCTTATGTGAGCTACTCAGATGGATTAGACTTCAACCGGCCTAAAAGCAAAGATAAGAAGTGGCCTATTCATTCCCCAATAGATCAGTATATCATTCGCTAACCTTTATGAAAGCTCTCTCTTCGCACTCTTTCTAATCTCTACTCTCTTCATCCTCGGGGACTCTTCTGTTAACTGCGGCGACAATACGTTCTTGTACCCGATTCTCAGAGGAATCTCATCATCTTACCTCTGGAATGCCGTCGATCGGAGCCTCGGTGAGGGCTATCCAATCCTTTTTCATCACTGGGTCCCTCATCAGAGAAATGTATTCCACAATTATTGTGTTGGTATCAAAGATTCCCGATCCTTTTAAGTTGAGTGATTTTAGACCAATCTCTTATTGTAATACACAGTAAAAGTGCAATACAAAAATTCTGGCCAACAGAGTGAAGAGTATTTTGCCTCATCCCATTAAAGTCGTTGTGTCTGTCAATACCCACTTGCTCGAGTGCGGGTAAGGGCTCACCAGATAATTGTATCGTTGCATGCTTTTTAGTAGAGCCCCACCCCCCTTGCAATTGCGTTCAGTCTCGCTACCTCTTTAGTTGTCGTCCCCTACTTGCTCATTCGCAATTTCAAAGCTAGGTTGTCAATCGGGCAACAATCTGGGCTTCTTGTTTACTCTTTACTCGATGTCTAACTCAAGCTTGTCCATAAAACGAGCCTTGCTAAGCGACTAGCTGGCTTATTTCCTAAGTTCGTAGCTGAAGTTTCCCTTAGCAACCAACCGCCCAAAACAAAGCAACCCTCTGGTGCCGCCCCTCCGTGTCAAAGGTTCAAGATTTGGCTACTTCATCATTCCTTCTGTGTTGTGGAAGATGTTAAAACAATCTTTCCATAAATATGTAAGAAAAGCAAAGCAAACTACAAAAAAAACATTCTCTCTCTCATCCGAAAGCTAAAAACTGGTGACAAGATTCCCGCTCAAGGACATCATACCAAAGTCGTACAATTAGGACCTCGATATGATTTTTTTCTGTTTATAGTATCGGAGATAATGTTCTTTTTTACTTTTTTCGGGCTTCTCATTCTTCTTTGACACCTACGGTAGAGATCAGAGGTATTTGGCCTACACAATTTGGTGCTCTACTCCTATTGCCTCTTCTTTACCTTCTGTTTTTGCCGCTGCTCGTTGTTGGGCAATTATTGGCATGTCTATCAAGCTGGGATTCCTTATGCATCGGAAGCAACAAACGAATTCATGGGCTAGACTTGCAGACGCGTCTTCTTATGTTTGCTATAATGCATCTTTTAGGCCTTGAAAGAAACCTTTTGGTGTGCCAATGAATGATTTGATCTGAAGGAATCTCACATCGATTTCTCACTGTAGACATATAGTCAACTAATCCACGAGCACCCTTACCCGCATAAACTTCGTAATGGCCCAAACAGAACGCCCACAGCCTGTCCACACCAAGAGCAGAGTGGACCGGGCCCAAAGGGAAAGGCCCAATGGTGGTACCAGAGGACCTGAACTCTAGCCCAGCCCCAATTCAGCTCAACCGAATGTAAGCTCGGGATAGAGGAGCTCGGTCCAACGCCTACCTTAAGGCACCCTTGCCGAGCCACGTGTCCTAAGGACACGGAGACCACTTCTGACATCCATAATGAACGTGCACTCCCTAATATAGAGAGTGTTGTGCCCGTAACCGTTCAGAGATTGTGGGCACAACGGCATCGTGTGGCAAAGGTCACTACATGACAAAAGAGAAAGGGCCCATAGAATCAACATAAAGGAAGAAGAAGTCGCAAGCAACCCTAGAAGGATCACTTGTATAAATAGGACATTATTACTGATGCAAATAGAGCACGTGAGGTGATTGGTGGTCTGGGTTCCTAATTTTTTGCACATTTGACCAAGTCTCTTGTGTGACCATTTCAATCTCCAAGCATCACAAGTCAGAGCATTTCAAGGCTGAAGTTGTTACATTAGTTCTATTTCTTTCCCATTTGTTACTCTTAGTTGTTAGTTGTTGCACTATTATTGCTATTCTGTTTCTGTTGAATGGCTATATTAAGCCAGACATTTCAATAAAGAAAGGTAGAGAGAATTGAAAACCCAAATACTTGATTTAGATTCCATTTCTTCTGGAAGAGAGTTCTAGCAGCTTTTCAGTCTCAACGAGAGGTTGTGACATAAAAGTTTCTGATTAAATTAGAGAGTACATCAAATTTGGTATCAGAGCATCGTTCAATCTGAGCACCTCACTATATGCCCCGAACCAAAAGTGGCCAATCTTACAACTCCATGGATCAAAATTCCAACACCAATCCCAACCCAGCACAAACAAGCCTTCAACAGCAACTAGACCAGATTTCCCAAACTATGGACACGGTAGTGCGGAGGTTTGATGTCATGGATGTCCGACGGCACCGTGAGGAATTGAGGGAACCAAGAGGAGGTCGGAGAGCTCCACGGAGGGAAGAATAGGGTGAGGAAAGTGATAGGAAAGAAGAAGACGAGGTGCAAATGGGCGGAGAAAGAGGACGGAAAGTCTTTCATGAACAAGGAATTCACCAGTGAGGTCAATTTGAGGCCAACCAGTATGTTCGAAGGGAGCCCTTGGAGGAATTAACCAAGAAAATGAAGGTCGATGTCCCCAACTTCCTTGGAAAGCTCAATCCTGATGCTTTCCATGACTGGCTTACTGCTCTCGAAGATTATTTTAAGTGGTTTGCTGTTTCAAAAGACCGCAAAGTAAGATTTGTAACAATGAAACTAAAGGGGCCTGTTCGCGCGTGTTGGAGCAACGTCGAGGAACAACTACGCTGAACCCATGAACCTCCTGTTTTTGAGTGGGGAGAAATGAAAGAAAGGCTATTGGTGAAATACTTCAACTACGAGCAAGTTGTTTATGAGGATATGCTTCAACTGAAACAAGGGGTGAAGGCAACTGTCGATCAATATACTGAACGGTTTCATGAACTAACGGTGAGAAGCAAGGTGGTGGAGACCGAAGCCCAGACCTTAGCCCGTTACCTAAATGGGTTGAAGAATGAAATAAGAAGAGAAATGTTGACGACGCAAGCCTATAGACTTGAAATAAAATATGAATGAAAAACGGATGCAAACTAAGTGTAGAGTCCTCGTATATATAGTCAATGAGAGTTACAAAAAGGACAAAAAGGTAAAAAAGAAAATTTAATAAAACCCTAATAAACTAGGCTTCTGCTATATCTCCAACACTCTCCCTCAAGCTTGGCGCAAAAACGTCAACTAAGCCAAGCTTGACAACGGAGTCCCGAAGAATAGATAGAGTGACAGGTGTGGTAAAAACATCCACAACCTGATCACTGGTCCCCACAAACGATGGAGTGACAATACCACTGCTAACCTTCTCTCGAAAAAAGTGAACATCGATCTCTATATGTTTCGTCCTCTCATATAGTACAGAGTCAGAAGCGAGCTGAATAGCAGATTGACTATCATAATATAATGTGGATAGAGAAGTCATTGAAAATCCCAATTCATCAAGAATCGATCGTAGCCAGATAATCTCACACGTGCCAAGTGTCAGTGCCCGATACTTTGCCTCTGCTGACGAACAGGAGATAACTACCTGCTTCTTGCTCTTCCAAGAGATAAGATGAGTCCCTCGAAAAGCACAGAAGCCCGTAGTAGATCGACCGTCACATGCTCCCCCATAATCTGAATCTAAATAACAGGCTAGAGAACCGGTCTGAGATCCTGATGCATAGAACAACCCAAGTCCAGGACAAGACTTAAGATACCGAAGAATATGATAAACTGCATCAAGATGAGGCTGACACGGCCTGTGCATGAACTGACTAACTCGGCTGACTGCGAATGAAATGTTCGGCCTAGTGTTAGCTAAGTAGATAAGTCTACCTACCAACCTCTAATAAACTGTCGGATCTCTCAACTCCTTACCTTCAGCAGTAAGCTTCAGGTTTGGAATCATGGGTGATGATGCCGGTTTGCACCCCAGCATTCCAGTGTTTGAAAGAAGATTCAAAACATACTTTCTTTGAGAAAGAACAACACCCCTGTTGCTACGGGCAACCTCAATCCCAAGAAAGTATCGCAGAAATCCAAAGTCCTTCACATTGAAGGGCTACCTTGACATGCGCAGTCC